CAAAATGCTACTGCAAAAAAATTTACAAAGATCCTACAAAATATCTCTATGTGAATTTTAAGAGGCAGCAGTAAATTACTCTAGAATAAACCATAAAGTTATTTCTTTAAATAACCCCTGTATGTAAAAACTAGAAGAGTTCTTTCTTCTGACAGCAAAATTAGCTACTGACATTTCAAACTCTATTCCTAGAGTTCTACTCCTTCTGCAGAGCTAATAAGATTGAAAATTCTGCCATGGGTCACATTTCATTTTCAAATGAAATCCTCTTATTTTAGCAATAAAATGTGATTTTGAATGTAGATGATTTGTGAATGCTGATATTCTGTCAGTCATATTTATACTGCTGTCACCTGTAAACTGAGTCATGACTATGAGATGATAAAGCCACGTTAAAGAGGAGTCCACAAGTCAGCAGCAGCAGTTCTGATTAAAAGCATTAAGAATTTCATGAACTTAAAATTAACTCAACCCAAGTTTTTCATCTTTGAAAAATGCCTGTTCTTTGCCCAGGTATTCCTGGTCAGTCACTTTTAACTTCTTAATTTTCAGTGGGTGGCAGAATGGGTCTGGGAGATCAGCAGAGCAAAGTGAAAGGTAAAGCACTCTGGTTTTCTTGAAGACTTTACTAGAAATTACATCCCAAGAGATGATTGTATGGGGAACACATCACATTAATTCTAGCTCTGTCTTACCTAAAAAAAGCGTAAGGAACACAGAGAACTGCTGAGCACAATAAGACTTTTGAACAAAAACCTCTGTATTTTGGATGTGTGCCCTGCATGTAACTGCTATGAAGCTGATTGTGACATTTGGATTTCTGATCCAGTATGTTGACACAGTGTTCATGAAGAGGCCTGCTTGCTCCTATACTTAATAGCAGGCACGTGGGGTGGAATTAGAAGGATGAAATGTCTTCTGGTTTGAGGCTTTCTGGACAAACTAGGACCATGTGGCAGTTTTATTATTTTTTTAAAGAAAAGTCAAAATCTGCCACACAATCTTCCTGTGTTGTTGCTGTTTTGTTATTGTTATGTTCTCATCCACTTTCTGAACAGCAACAGTTTGGTTCTCTTGAGTACCTAATGTGCTTAAGTAGCCCTCAATAGCTTATATGATATTCATGAAGGAAAGGTGATCTGCAACTAATACTGAAAAAAACCCAAACCATGTGTATATATTTGCGGCATATTTCCAAAGCCATGCTATGAATTTCCATGTAAGTTCTTCAGAATTTCAAGTGGGAAGAGGCTCTTTGGGACATCTAAAAGAAGGTTGAAAAGCTGGAAGCAAGAAGAGCGGGGTGCTCTGAAAATCTGTGAACTTTCCAGTAAGCTCAAATGAAGAAGTGAAAATGCTCCTTTAAATACTTGGAGTAACTTGGAGGCATCATCAGTATTTACTGTGCTTCTGAGAGAAGATGAAGCATAGTGATCTCCTGGAGAATCTTTGGCAGTTAAAGCCACTACAAACCTTGCCTTTTCTTGGATACTCAGGGAGGGGACCAAAGTGAAACAGTTTGTATTTTTGAGAGAAGTTATTTAGAATGCAAGTTGTCTCATCTAATTTTTGCAGCAAAGAATTAGGCACCGATCTAAAGTCATTAGCTACACTGCCTCGTCAGTGAAGGGAGAGAAACAGGTAATAATCACTGTAAAAACTGGAATGGGATGAATCTCCTGGAAGAATTTTCTTCCCTTAAAAGGGAGCCTTAATGACTTAAAGCTTTTATATACTTAAGACCAAGAGCAGTTAATTTTTTCCTTTCAAACTAAATAGCACTTCTAGAGGTAAAGAAAAACAGATGAGCAGTAGACTGAATGCAGAGGAGAAAGATCAAGTGCAGAAAACCTGAATGAAGGCAAGAAGCTGAAGAAAAAGAAGAAAACAAGAACATTACACAGGGACAAACTACTACAGGTATTAAGCCTAATTTCTAGCTGCTTGGAAAATGCTGGTGCAGGAGTATTGTGTGTGCACGAGATGGCACTTAAATATTTTAATTACTTTGACTAGGAACTGCACAGAGATAATTAACACAGTAGACAATGTAAGTTTGCATTATAACCATTATCTTTTATCCAAAAGCCACTTTTAAAGAAACACACATCAATAAAATGATATTAATAA